CAGTCGTGGCTGGCCCGAAAACTAGTTTTACTGGTAGCCAACCAATAATGACCCCGCAGTGGTCTCGTTAATGAAGCATAAGTCGTGGTAGGAGCAGTGCAAAAACACTCGTTGGTGAAGAGACAAAAGCTCTTGCATATCACACAGGCTGTGTGGATGTCCTACCACCATGAATCAATGAGAGTAGTTCCTGAGAAAATTTGTAGAAGGTGTTACCCGTCCTCCTCAACCCATACCCCATCTCCAAGCAAAAATTAAGAAATATCTGAAAAAAAAGAAAACCTACTCCATTCGTGCCTTCGATGAGCTCTGAGTTGTCATTAGCCATACATATGAATGTGAAGTTGATAACGATATAGTTAGAGCAAATTGACGTCAGACAGAAGAAACCCAGAATCAGAAGAACGTAGCGGAAGCGATGGCCGTAGATAGATGACGGGAACGGCATGAACCTGTAGTGACTTTGGAACATCTCCATATTTTCTGTCCAAGTAATGACGATAATTTTGACAGAAACGGGACTAAAGGGCAGGCAAAAGGTTAAATAAGAACTCTAGTGCAATTGTGAAGCAATCCGCAGCCCTAAAAAGGCACAGACTTCATATGTGGTAGATTCACGTGGTGCTAAACGATTTCGGCATTTCATTTTTTGCTGCTTAAAAAAATCCGATTACCCGGGGAGTGACAGTCCGCTGACTGGTCCACGTCGTGCAAAGATCATTGATTTACACTACATACTAGCAAATGAAGTCAAAGCGAACGGCAAATGATAGCAATATGATCATCTAGGATAGCAATCATTAGACAGTCCAAAGAAAATCGCTGCATCTGGTATTCGAAGGAAAATGAGAGATATGACTGATGAAGACTTCTTTGTATGCCTTGAAAGAAGAATCAACCAAGATCCATCTGAGGCAAAGGTTCAGTAAATCATCTGTGTTTCTGGGATACTTTTTTCAGTGAAACTATTTTTTTTTGCAATGAGAAAACCTCTCTGTCTCTATAGAAGGCAAAAGGCAGAAAATTGGAAAGTATTGGTGTAGTTAAACGGCAAACAGGTTTTTAGTTCTCTCTTTACATCATAAAGACAGCTCTCGAAAGCAATGGATT